CACCAGATCCTCCTGTCAACCCTATTGGCAAAGGGCATCTCAGGAACCACACTCCAGTGGTTTGAGTCTTATCTCTAGATAGATCCTTCAAAGTATCTTGGAGAGGTGAGGTGTCCAAGTCGCAACATCTAGCTACTGGGGTGCCTCAGGGCTCAGTTCTTGGTCCACTTCTCTTCTCTGTCTACATGGCATCACTAGGTTCTGTCATTCAGAAACATGGCTCTTCATATCACTGCTATACTGATGACACTCAACTCTACCTCTCATTCCATCCTGATGATCTGACGATAGCTGCTCGCATCTCAGCTTGTCTAAGAGACATTTCTTGTTGGATGACGGACCATCACCTTCAACTCAACCTGGCTAAGACAGAACTGCTTGATCAAACCCATCGTTTCATCACAATTTCACCATCCAGTTAGACAGATCAACCATAACTCCTTCAAAAACAGCCAGAAACCTTGGAGTTATGATTGATGATAAGCTGACTTTCTCAGACCACACTGCTAAAACTGCCCGTTCCTGCAGATTTGCTTTATACAACATCAGGAAGATCAGGCCCTTTCTTTCAGAACATGCAACACAACTCCTTGTTCAAGCTCTTGTTCTGTCCAGGCTGGACTGTTGCAATGCTCTCTTGGCAGGTCTTCCAGCCACTTCTATCAAACCTTTACAATTAATCCAGAATGCCGCTACAAATTAATCTTTAACGAGCCGAAAAGAACGCATGTCACACCTCTGTTCATCAATTTGCACTGGCTACCAGTAGCTGCTCGCATTAAATATTTTGGTTCGATAAAATGGACGTTTCATAATTAAAAAAAAATTTTTCTCTCTCTGATTTTGATCTTTATTCATTTACTGACAAACAGGGTTGCCAAGTCCATGGTTTTACCGTGGAATTGAGCTACTTTTACAATGTTGCCGCAGGTTGTTTTTGAAGTCTGAGGGTTAAAGCGCTATTTCGACGGAGGGGATAACCGTGGAAAAAACACGATTGGGCTAGTTTTGATTAGCAATAGATTGCTTGTGAATCGGCCGTCGTTCTGGAGAGCCAGACAGGGTTTGACAGAAGGTCAGATGCTGAGTGACCGCGGGCTCTGACTTCAGCAAGGGATTATGGGTGTTTGTGTCTGTACCTCCCACAAGCTCACCGGCTCCAAACTCTTTTCCTCCATCTTTTCCTCCTTTTTGTTTTCTCTCTGCCTTTCTGTCTTTTCACTCCCGTCTTTCTGCACCTGTTCGCTGAACCCTTGCTTTTAAAGTCTCTGCTGGATTTATGAAGCTCTGAAAAGAGAAATATATTCTCCGTGTCCAGAGCCAGCGTCTGATTAATGGTCGTTTCCGCCCACGTCAGCGTTGCATCATGAAAACAGACGTACAGTGTTCAGAAGAGATCAAGCTGTCCAAACCATTAGCCAGATAAACTGATCACATGACAGCAGCTTCTACTGAGCTCAGTGTGACAGAGGTCACGCTCGTGTCTGTGTGTGTGTGAGTGAGTGAGAGTGAGAGAGTGAGAGAGTGAGTGAGTGAGTGAGTGAGTGTCTGTGTGTATGTGAGTGAGAGAGTGAGTGAGTGAGTGAGTGAGTGAGACAGTGAGTGAGTGAGTGAGTGAGTGTCTGTGTGTATGTGAGTGAGAGAGTGAGTGAGTGAGTGTGTGTGTGTGTGAGAGAGAGAGTGAGTGAGTGAGTGTGTGAGTGTGTGTGTGAGAGAGAGAGTGAGTGAGTGAGTGTGTGAGTGTGTGTGTGAGAGAGAGAGTGAGTGAGTGAGTGTGTGAGTGTGTGTGTGAGAGAGAGAGTGAGTGAGTGAGTGTGTGAGTGTGTGTGTGAGAGAGAGAGTGAGTGAGTGAGTGTGTGAGTGTGTGTGTGAGAGAGAGAGTGAGTGAGTGAGTGTGTGAGTGTGTGTGTGAGAGAGAGAGTGAGTGAGTGAGTGTGTGAGTGTGTGTGTGAGAGAGAGAGTGAGTGAGTGAGTGTGTGAGTGTGTGTGTGAGAGAGAGAGTGAGTGAGTGAGTGTGTGAGTGTGTGTGTGAGAGAGAGAGTGAGTGAGTGAGTGTGTGAGTGTGTGTGTGAGAGAGAGAGTGAGTGAGTGAGTGTGTGAGTGTGTGTGTGAGAGAGAGAGTGAGTGAGTGAGTGTGTGAGTGTGTGTGTGAGAGAGAGAGTGAGTGAGTGAGTGTGTGAGTGTGTGTGTGAGAGAGAGAGTGAGTGAGTGAGTGTGTGAGTGTGTGTGTGAGAGAGAGAGTGAGTGAGTGAGTGTGTGAGTGTGTGTGTGAGAGAGAGAGTGAGTGAGTGAGTGTGTGAGTGTGTGTGTGAGAGAGAGAGTGAGTGAGTGTGTGTTTGTGTGTGTGTGTGAGAGAGTGAGTGAGTGAGTGTGTGTTTGTGTGTGTGTGTGTGAGAGAGAGAGAGTGAGTATGTGTGTGTGTG